GTTGTTCTGGGTGTAACAAGATAACAGCAGAAGGAAACTACAGGTTTGGATGATTCTTAAATTTTTAGTATCTCTGACCTTAAAACAAAGCAACATATTATAATGAGTTGATCCATACTTATAGGTATAGGATCAATGTGTTGGTTATGGACCCTACCGACTACACCACCATAACACTTTGGGATAGAGAATGCACCGACTTGCTAGGAAGGTCGACAAGTGGAATGAGAGACCTCATGGCTGAGGTATAGATACCTAAACATATTTTGTATAAATATTTTGTATATACTGTAAGCATTAAACTTGAAGAACATTAAAAACATTGAATTTTTTTTACAGCGTACGGGAAACGCAGATTCCTTCCCATTTCCAGAAATTGAGAGTTTGATCCAGAGAAAGGGTCTTTTCCGAGTAAGTGTAAAACCAAAGTCAGAAGATTTTTTTCTTGAGGCTAAGTCATTTGGTGTTACGGAAATGATTTCTGACCCCAATATATGGAAGTTGTACGATACCCATGATGGGGAGGACATGAAATTAGGCTTTTGGGACGAAGAAGAAGTTATTGTTGAAGATGAAGAGGTATAATAAAACAACCGATTGATTATATCTAAAACATAAGTGTGTGTGTGTGTGTATTAACGTAGTTTGTTTTTCATTTTAGGTCAAAATTCCCGATGAGATACCCTCGGCGAGCAGCTGTCTTGGTGGAAAACGCAAGCATGAGATTAATAAGGAAGCCGATGACCCTACTAAGAGGGATCTAGATGAGGAATTTGGCGCCACAAAAGAGCTCCTTAAAATGAAGGCCATTAAAACTGAGAAATAGAGAATGGGTCAAATTTTATCAATTTGAACATGCTTTAATTTATATTCGCGTAATCTTCCTAGCTGTTGTTTTGTTTGAGACTCATATGTTTTTCAGACTTTTGAATGTTTTTGTTTTTTCAATTAAATGGTGTTGTGTGGTCTTTCCATGTTAAGATTGAAAAATGGATTTATGATTATATTTTATTAGTTCAATGTTTACGGTGAAGAATACAATTCCATGGGATATTCTCCATGGATGATGCGTTTCATAGAATACAACTGAATCACCATGTAAACACGAGCCAGGTAGACGGAAGTTTCATGTTGAAAAAATTATTTTAAAAAAATACCTAAATGATTTCATTGAAAAATAAATTTAAAACGAATACCAAAATGCTTTTTTTGGAAACTAATATTTTTTTAAATTAAAATTAAAATAAAGATCCATTTATGGAGAAACGAACACACAAACATCAGCCTAAGAGAGAGATCTTATTTCGATGGGTGAAATCAGAATTTCATTTGAAAAATCTCTTAAAAAGAAGTTATCTGAGAAATAAAATCCAATATTCACTTTTGAAAATGGACAAAAAGTTTAAAAATAAATGGGCTATTTACAGTATAGACCCTCTATACGAAAAAAACACAGTTTAGAAGGGGATGTTTTTAAAGCAGAATAAGAATTTAGAGGGGAGCAAATTCTGGAACTCAATTTTAAAAATTAGGATAAAACGTGTAATATTCCAAGGGAACACATAAAAATAATTAGGACAATTATCTTAAGGTTCATTAAGAGATTTGTATATAGTAAGATTGTGCAGGATTATATTAACAGAACCTCTCTATTAGCAGAACAAGTTTGTGTCGTATACTAATATATACATTATACACACACACACACATGTTTTGGTCATAAACTTACTTTTTAGGGTATGTTTTTTTATCTAATTTTTAAATTCTGCCAATTATGTATTATAAAGTACCATATAAAAATGTCAAATGAAGACACACACAATTGGGCCATTAAATAATGAATAATCTGTTTTTAAATTTTATCTCAAGAAAAAATGTAATAAAATAATATAATTTATAAGATCCTATTTACAAAACACAAGAATATTGTCTCTTAATAATTTAATAAAACAACAGCTGAGTTCCATTTACAAAAATCCATGGGAACACACACATGGGATGCTACGTAATAATAGCCTCTTTGTATTATACATTTTATATCATTTACAGTATATCATACCATAAACACATAATAGTTTGTTTATATATATGTGTGCACATATACATTTAAATATATATCTTTGTGTGTGTGTGTGTATATATATATATATATACATACATACATACATACATACATTTGAGAGTATATATACACAAGCACTTTGCAGAGTCAAAGTTGTGATGAAGTTAGTCTGCAAGTCTCATGTACGTAAAAAAACTTATATTCATAAATCTGTTGGTGTTTATACTTCTTATTTTTTAAAAAAAACATGTTTCCTAATTTATATTGCATTTTCTTTTGTAAGGTGAAGATACAGATGTTCTGTTAATCACAACAATATTACATCCTCGGATTCATGAAGAAGCTAACAAAAGGTGGGACTTTTAAAAGCAAGTTATCGAATGCTACATGTACAGATTCAGGGATAAACAGACAAGGTACCTATCTTGCTTTATGTTGGATAATTTTGATAAAACATTTGAGTACTGAGAAAATTTTAAAATTTATTTGTGTAGCATTGTAATTGAACTTAAAAAAGAGAGTCAATATGAAATGTTATAACATTTATAAATTTAGATTGTATCATACCTTTGGGTGGAAAATATTAAATATGTACTCTTCCATACATGTTTGAAGCCTGAAAGAATTAAACAAATTTAGTACAACATTTAAAACTGAATGTACACGGTGTAGTAAATATTTCGGACACTGATCGTAACCGATCAAACACTGCACTTTCCACTGTAGATAAATGAGGTAGAAAGATTTAATTTCAATAAATCGATTATTAATTAAAATATGCATTCAACCCTTAAAAAATATCGTTATTTTTGTCTTTGTATTTTGACAGTGTATATATG